TCGTATACCGGGATTAATTTAGCAGGTGTTAAGAGATAACTAGAGGTTACTAGATGAATTGGTGTGAGAGGGACAAAACGATAACCATGTATTAAATGAAAGTGACAAGTGTCACTTGGAGATTAAGTCTTACTTTTTTACCACTATTCACTCTTTTACCATTTTACCAAATAAATCAAAAATTGATCAAAAATCTCTTCATTTCCAAGCTTCTTGTGGCCGGCCATCTTCAAGGACAAAGAAAGGAAAACCTCTCCAAATTTCTAGCTCCAATCTTGTTCAATCTTCAATTCCAACCGTTTAATCTTGTATTTGCTCCATAAAAACCCTTAAGTGAGTGGTTGTGAGGTGATTAGTGAAGTGGTTTGGAGGATTAAGGTGCTAAGTTGCTCCTTTTCTTGGGTTGTGAAGGTGAGTAACTAAGGGACCTTTCTTTCTTCTCAATAATGTTTGATTATTGACTTATGTGAGATGAAGTGATGGATTAAGGTGTTGTTTCATGACTTTTGGTGGAATTTGGTGCATTTTTCTATTTGATCATGATTTTTCTGTTTTCATATGATTATTATGGTGTGGCCTTGGATGATGGTTGGAAATGATCTAAAATGAAGCTAGAGGGTGTAAGTTGTGGCTATTTGCGGAAAATTTCCGCATTGAAAGGAAATTTCGGAAGTTATGTGAGATGAAGTGATGGATTAAGGTGTTGTTTCATGACTTTTGGTGGAATTTGGTGCATTTTTCTATTTGATCATAATTTTTCTGTTTTCATATGATTATTATGGTGTGGCCTTGGATGATGGTTGGAAATGATCTAAAATGAAGCTAGAGGGTGTAAGTTGTGGCTATTTGCTGAAAATTTCCGCATTGAAAGGAAATTTCGGAAGTTAGGGTTTCATTTAATCCCATTCTGCCCGGTACTTTTTCTCCTAGTTAGAGGCCGAATTAGCCTTGGGTTAAAACATGAAAGTTGTATAGGATGATATTTTATAGTTTCCTACAAAATTTCAGCTCAATTGGAGCAATGTAGCCTATGAAAAGACCAAAATACCTCTGCTACCCTGTTTCTGTCCGAAACTGAAATTCAGCTTTGGTAATTGGTTAATTTGATTGGGAATACGACTGATTTGGTTGTTAATGTCTTCTTAAGAAATATAGCCTAGTATCTTAGCTTTCGTATGGATTTGGAATCACTTGAATTGGACTTAGGTAGCCTGAATTATGGTTATTTAACCAGAATGTGGTTTGTTAACCTGTTTATGCAGTTATGGTTTAATACATTGAACTTTTGACCTTGTTGCACTACAAACTGGACTGAGTGGCCTTCTTCAACATTTTAGCCCTTTTCCTTAGCTTCGAAATGGTGTAAATTACACCTCAATCCGACAAGGATAGCTTCAGTTACGTTAATTCCGCTAAGCAACAGCAAACCTGCCTTTTGTTTTCCAACCCAAACTTCGTTTCCGCATATGTCCTAGTTTGATTTTGCACTTATACGTTCCATATGATTTTACTCTAGTGATATGTGGATTTGGTTTATGACTTGTATTCGAGCCTTATTGTGGCTCTAATTAAAGGTGTTTGATAGCTTGTGATTTGTGGGTGTTGAGGTTTGGTTGGAAAGTAAAGAAAGACAAGGGAAATGCTGTCAAAATTTTCGCGGAGCTTCTAACCAGTCTCGGGAAATTTACTATATCTTGATGTAGGAATGTCAGAATTGAGTTCCGTTTGTTGCGTTCTAAACTAGATTCATAGGGCTATAAACCGTGTAAATTTCAGACTCTGTTTATGTCTGTACCATTTATGGTGATTTTTCAAATTTGACTGAAATATTGTACCTGTTCTGTCTTTCACTGGATAAAGCAGCGACTGGAGGCTTGAATTTGACTGACTTGCGTTCTGAATCTTATAAGGGTGTTCTCTGAAAAGTTATAGCCCTTTGAATGTATTTTCCAACGGTACAATTTTTACTAATTTTGGACTTACAAAACTTGAGATATGATTTTTCATATAGGGTTGCGCGAAACTGGAAAATCCTGTTTTCCTAGTATCGATCTTACTTTCATTTTCTACTTCAAATTTGGAGTTGGTCAGTCATTGTAGGTAAGGTTTTGAGGTTGTTCATGCCTTTAGGACTAATCGTTATCTTTTCACTCCAAAGTCACCTCTTCGCTTTACATTAATGATTCATTTGGATAGGCACCTGACTTGTAATCGAGTTTTACTTGCGAATTCCACTTATTAGGTTTTGGAGTCCAGTCTTAAGTGTTTGCCTTGATTGTTCTACGAGGTGCCAGCAAGTAAAGCCACACTTGGGAAAGAAACTTTCAAAATTATCCTTGTTTGATCAGGTGAGTGCACCACTCCCCTGAATTATTGCTCAACTGGTTTTCTGTACTTGCACATTGCTATTTGAATGTCTTTCATGTCTTTCCTGACTGTTTATCTTGTATGAGACGAGGGTGTACTTTATCACACTCGTTCTCTTGCCTGTATTGTATAAACTGAAATCTATTACTTGTACTTATTATGAACTTGAACCTGTTACTTGCACTTGTTATAAGGGCGTTTGGAAGTGTGTCCAACGACCTTCTTGTTAAACCTGAGCTCAACCTCATGGGGAGTTAATTAAATCGAGCCAGCAAGGGCTTGGTCGAGGTATTTGACAATCCATGAGTGCCTGTTTCTAGGAAATCTTTGAGTATTGAGACTCTTGATTCCGGTATACTCGAGTATTACCACTTTCATTCTTGTTTGGCGTTCGGGCCCGGTAAGGGGTATGTTTGGTGAACGAGATTTTGGGGTTAAAGTGGTGATCTACTGGACTGGTTCCTTTATTTGAACGTTGACGGAGGGTCAACAAGGCTGGATCAAGTATTGCAACGGGGATTTGGCTCCTGAGAGCCATCTGTATCCTTTAAATTGTGATGTTCGTTCATTTCTTTTACTTGATGCGGATATGTGTCCTATAAATATTTTCTCATGATTTCTACTGTTATATTTTTGGTACCTCATTGAACTTCTAGCTCACCCCGTTTCGTTATCCTTGTTTTTTTTACAGGAAATCACCTTTTGAAGACTATGATGTTTGAAGCATGAGTTGAGCTAGTTTTAGTATTCTTTTGTATAGCTCTTCGATGGTTGGAAAACCTTAAATGTATTCTAACCAAACAATTCCCTTTTGAATTGTAAATTTGCAACCATGTGTATATAAAAGTGTTTAGCCATGTTCCTAAGTTGATTTGGTTTGGAAATGTTCTTTTCTAGGGTTATCTAAAGTTGTTGTGCTTGTTTGGGTTTCGGACAGTGAATGTTATCTTCTCGAAGTTCTTTTGAGCGGTTGGTAGGGTTTACGCTCGTTCCGAATCCGTAGTCCCGGCGAGAGTTGGGCAGGCGGTCCGCCGAACCGTTTGGTTCGCCTTAGGGGGAGGTGGGGCTGTCACATATGGGTCATGAATTCAACAAAGGTATAAATTCAAAATTAAGAAATGTGGATTTAGACTTAATTAATGGGGGTAAGAAAAGTGAACATCTAGTAATGACTGACATAGTAAGTTTTCTGCATTTTAGATGAAAGTTATTGTAGAATTTATAGATCCAAGCGCACACGGTATCAAATCTGTACGTAACTAATTCTAACATAAGTACCAATTTCTTGTTTGTCTCCTCAACCACTTAGAATTTACACCCCTACTTCTTAATTAAATTCACAGTTTATACATATTTAAATACTATATATGGGTCATGAATTCAACAAAGGTCGATTAAACTCGCTCAAAGATCAGTTATGGAGTGGACATAGATGCAATAACAATCCAAGTTCGGAATGATCGGTTCGGTCGATTCGACCGGTTCGATTGTGTCTCCAGTCTTGTTCAATGGTTAATCCAAAAATTCAATTAAACCGAACAACCTTCAATCAAAGATTAGTTATGGAGTACATATACAGAATATGCAATAACAACGTTTGATCAGTATGATCGGTTTGATTGATTCGATCGTGCTTGATTGATTCGATCGTGCTTGATCGGTTCGATTGTGTCTCCAGTCACTTTGATGGTTAATCCAAAATTTCGACTAAACCGATTAAATTCGATCAAACATCAGTTGGACCGGAAATTTAGAGAAATTCACTTTTTGAATTGTTATTTTTTAAAAAAATAATTTTTCCATTGTATTAAAAAATTATTCAAGAAATTTACAGATTAAAGTTTCAAATTATTTCTATTGATCAAAAATTAGAGAGGGGTGATTGGAAAAAAAAATTGGATGTTTGGTCTGAATTGATTTGCAAAAATTGCATTATATCTTACACTCAAAAGTTTAAAAAACAAAACAAAGAAATGATTATTGTAATTATCAAAAATAATAAAACAATTTTGTTAAAACATTTAACGAATCATAATCAAACTTGAAAGTGGATTTGATGGATAGCAATTTCCCATAACACAAAGGTAGTTAGAGAGCATGAGGTGAAAAACTCCCAAAGGAATAAGGTTACATTGGAAATTTTATAGTAGGAATTATTGCCTTTTTGAGAAGCATAATTACAGTATACCTGCAATTTTCGATTTCAAGGAACTTCACACTCAATTTCTACATAATCTTGGCCAGAAGTGATGATGGAGATCAATTTTCGTTCCTACTAATTTTAGCTAAATGAATCTCAAGTAAATCCGATTCCAAATTATGGTTCTAAAGATGCAAGTGATTTCTGATTTAATTCCCAAAGTTAAACTTCCAATTAACAAATTATGGAGGAGATGAGTTTTGTCCCTTCAAATTTAGTTGCTGTATATAATAATCAAACGAACCAAAACTCACAAGCTTCAAGTAATTTCAGACCAACGAAATGTAGGCAAGTAATTGCAGCCAGTATTAGAGCCTTAGCAATTGAAACATATAACAATAGGGCCAGCAAGCTTAGCAACTATAAAAGATACTAAATCAGATTATATTGGGACAAATCAACTTCAATCCCAAGTCCATTCTCACGAACCCAACTAATTTCTCATTTCAACAACAGAATTGCCAACATCATTTTGCAAATATGTCTCAACATCCATGATTGTGCCCATGTTATATCCACCTCTTGCAGTGGTAGAGATAACAACTTGCCAATCCTTATTAGTTGGATCTTCCACATAAAAAACCTGTGATGCTTGTGAAGCAAGTATAAATGGCTCAACATGAGGCCTCACATTTGCAAAATTGACTACAGTAAACCCATCAACATCTTGTTTCATTCTCGAACCATTTGATATCCAATCACATTCGAATAACACCACCCGACGACCTCCGTAAATTAATTCAACAACATTTTTCAAGACGCTGAAGTAAACTAGTTCACTCAAAACTGGATTTTGATCCCTTATACTTGCAAAACTGGATGTTGTTGCATTGACTGTAACACCACTATTCTGCGTTTTTCTTTTCTTCTCAATTTCGTTGGTGTGAAACCGAAATCCATTAACAACGTACTTGTCATGTTGGATTCCAACAATATCTAGACCTTTAGCAAGGAACCTCAAGTCTCTCAACACCGAAACATTTTGAGGAAGTTCTAACTTGTCAATCTGTAAAAAAAAAAAAAAAAAAGATGAAACTATATTTGAAGTCCTACAATTCAAATTGTACTTAATATTCAGAATTTTACTTACATGTTCAGCAAACCAACAAGCAAAATTTTCACTGTGCAACCGCTCTTTTAGATGCTGTGGAACTTGAGGATGCCCTTCTTCTATCAATCTACGATGCTGCTAGAAGTACATGAGTCAAAATTGTAATCATACATTGAATTCTACAATAAAATTTTATGCATCAAGTTGTAGTTGAACTTACTCTATGTAAGGTGTGACAGCATCACAGTTAAATAAAATATACTGATGTGCTTTACTCAAGATATGAGCATCAAAGACTGTTGGCTTGCCCCTCCCCAAAGGATGTCCTGATTCAGAGAATATATCTAAACCCTCTTCAATTTCCTTATGTACTTCTTCATTTCTGCTTGGACGATTGAATTTTGTCTCAACATAGTCCGCAAGATACAACGAGCAAAAGTTTATGCATTCTTCTGCCAAGTAGCCTTGAGCAATCGAACCTTCAGGCCTACTTTTATTTCGAACATAAGATTTTAATGTTCCTAGGTACCTAAAGTATCATCATTCCAAACTCTCTGTTTAGTTCCACAAATCAAAGAAAGAAAAAAATAATAAACATTTAAGGCATAATTAGAATTACAAGCAGTACCTCTCTACAGGATACATCCAGCGATAATACACCGGCCACCTAATTTCACTTCAGTTGCCAAATGAATAGTTAAATGCACCATGACATCGAAGAATGTTGGTGGAAAGCATTTCTCAAGATCGCAGAGTATAACGGCAATTTCACTTTCCAAACGAACCACATCTTGAGGACAAATAACTTTAGAACAAAGCTGCCTGAAGTATCTACTCAATCGAATCAAAGGATAGCGCACTGATTTTGGCAAAGTCTTTCTCAAAGCTATAGGCATCAATTGCTGCATTAGGATATGATTATCATGACTTTTAAGCCCCGAAATTCTTGGTGGTTTTACTCGAACGCATCTTGAGACGTTAGCTGCATAACCATCTGGAACTTTCACTTTTTTTAGCACATTGCAAAACATAGTTTTTGTTTTTTATCCATTGCAAAGGAAGATGGAGGTAAGTACACCTTTCCAGGTTCTGTCTCAATGGGATGCAACTCTTTTCTTATTCCCATTTCTCTCAAATCACGGCGGGAATTATAATGGTCCTTTGCTTTATCCTCAATATCCAGCAATGTCCCCCAAATATTTTCACAAACATTCTTCTCAATGTGCATGAAGTCAAGATTATGTCTTAAGACATTATCTTTCCAATATGGCAAGTCAAAGAAAATACTCCTCTTTTTCCAATTAAAAGGCAGCTTCGGATTACCTTTCACAAGTTTTCCAAATTTAATTTGCAAGTCTCCCAATTCACTCACAATCATATCCCCAGTTTGCAAAGGTGGTCGCTTTCCATATTCTTCGGTGCCATCAAACAATTGGGCTTGCTTTCTAAATTTATGCTTACTATCTAAGAATCTACGATGACCCATATAGCAATGCTTGAAACTATGAGTCAACCGTCGTGCATGAGTGAACTTGTGACAAACAGGACAAGCATATTCACCTTTAGTGCTCCACCCAGATAACATTGCATATCCAGGGAAATCACTAATGGTCCACAACAGAGCTGCATGCAATTGAAAATTTTCTTTTTGGGATGCATCATAAGTTTGAATGCCAAAATCCCACAATTCGGTCAATTCTTTAACTAGAGGCTGTAGATAAACATCAATATTATTCCCAGGAGAGGATGGTCCGGGTATTAACAAGGACAACATGAAGTACGGTTGCTTCATACACATCCACGGAGGTAAGTTATATGGTATTAAAACCACAGGCCAAGTACTGTGTGTAGAACTCATGTTGTTGAATGGATTAAACCCGTCAGATGCCAACCCCAATCTAACATTTCGACAATCCTTAGCAAATTCTGGATGTAGATGGTCAAAAGTTTGCCAAGCTGGAGAATCAGCTGGATGTCTCATACAACCATCTTTTGTACGTTTTTCCTCATGCCATCTCATTTGAGATGCAATTTTAGAAGACATAAATAGTCTTTGTAATCTAGCTTTTAAAGGAAATGCCACAATACTTTTTGAGGGATTTTTCTTTTTTCACCAGTTGGATCATTTTCTGAAGCAACCCACCTAAGCTCGTTACATGTTTCGCATGAAGTTCTTTTTTCAGCACTACCCCAATAAAGAGAACAATCATTAGGACATGCATCGATCTTTTCATAACCCAGCCCAATGTATTCATCAATTTCTCAGCCTCATAGTAAGAAGAAGGCAAATTAGTCATGGCCTCCGGAAATGCTTCTCTCAACAGCTCAACAAGCATATTAAAAATCTTGTTACTCATCTTACCAAGGCATTTTAGGTGAAGCAAACGAATAATGAAAGACAATTCGAGAAATTTTTGCAACCACTGTACAAATCCTGTTGAGAATCATCAATCAATTTGTAAAATTTTTCAGCCTCTGAAACAGGAAAGTCCCCTTCTCTATTCAATTCATTTGTTCCATGTGGTATCCCAAATACATCATGGACCAAGTCTTGCATGTCATTAGTCCCATTTGAAACCCCAATTGATGTATTTTCAGAATTAGATGTGGCTTCATAGTAGTTTGAAAGTTCTCCATGTGCTATCCAATTATTATAACCCTTGATAAAGCCTACCACTTTCAAATGATCATATGCTTCCATTTTAGTCACACAAACACCCATGCCGCAATCTTTGCAAGGACACAAAATCAGTCCGTCACAACTTGATCTAGAAAATGCAAAGTTTAGAAACATTTGAAGTCCTGCCTCACTTTTCACTTGTTCTTGGAAAATCCATCCAACTTTTATCCATACTTTGAATATAAATAAATGTCCTCCAACAAGCTTCCAAGAGCATGAAAACAACAACTACACATTAGTACTTAGAAAACTAGACAAATCCCATAAAATCATTGAGAATAAGAAGCGCCCTGATTTTTTAAACTCAGGCCATGGCTTACAAGTCCCTAATTTCAAGTTCAAGAATTTACAGTCTATTAAATAAAGTAGCCCAGCAAATAAAGGAAATCAACAAAATGCAAAATTTCTCAACAATCTGTAAAAACAAATTCGCAAGCAAGCGGATAGAAATTTTATTTACCTAATACCATAACAAAGCCCTTCGTACCAACTCCTGCACTCGCGTCTTCGCAAAATTCCTAAAGGTGAAATTCAAGAATCTTACTAAATTTTCATCAAAGTATACATACATCTCTGGTGTGTAGTGATTAATTTTATAAGTCCTCTCTTTAGAAAGGCATGCAACTTACGGCATAGGTAATTGGAAAAAATGATTGACAGAAAAAGCTTAGGTTTATGACACGGTTAGACCAGCAGATATTTATGAAGAAAAAGCATTCACCACAGAGAGACAGTGAAATGTGAAAGAAAGAAGAAAATCTATCTAGCTTTTTATTTTATACTCATAATCTTTTTTTGGTCCCAGGATTCTTTTAAGTTGCTATGACTGTTCAGCTAATTGATCTAGAAACAGGACTAAATTGAGAAAAAAAAACAGAACCCGTAAGGGTGCTATGTCATCCTGAACTGGGAAGGGTGGAAGTTCGAGTCAATCACACCTACATAATCAAATGGCACACTATTCGATCTCACCCATCTCAATAACGACAGAATATTTGTTTGTCTATTCAATAATCTTGCTCAACAACAATCTGAACCTATCTGTCACGGATGCATAACCAGCACATGACCAATGTGCAGTTCAACAAGAAGTCCATTAATTAAGTCCTTAAATATTAATTTTCATCAACCTATTTCTTAAACTTTTGCACTTGTCTTGCAAAAAGGTCATTCCAGTCACCCATTGCTATTTTGATCTTCATCAAAGAGCTTCCAAGTCGATTTCTATTCATAGCCTAAACAGAGCTTCAATTACAACTAAGTTTCATAGATTAACATTAAAAGAGATTCACAGAAAAAAATGAAAAACAGGGGGGAATTGACATTTTATCGAACAGGTTATGGGCAACAGCTTCATTGTGTTTACCACTTCAATTTTGGAACAAGATATGCGCACCTGAAGTATCTTCCCGCTTTCCCAATGTAGAGCTCAGTTCTTCAGCTTTTACTCCCTGCCTACCCTTCCAGATGTCTTAGCCGAGGGATTTAAAGCTGAGGTTAGAAAAGATGAAGATGGTTGTTTGCGGAGATAGCTTCGATTGCTACCAACATTCTGGACTGGCCGAGATAGCTTGTATGCTGAGAGGTGAGAGAGATGAGAAGAAGAAAATTTTCACCAAGTCCTTTTGTCGGCAAAATGAAACTTCACAGTACTTCAGCAAGTGTTTTGGAGCCAAAATAAAACGATGTCGTTTTCTGTGTTTTTTCGATTTTTTTTTTTTGGTTCATCTCAGTTTCCAGGTTTCCAGAGTGTCATCATAGGTAGCCTAAAGGCACATTATTATTTGTATATCATGATAAAATAAAAAAATTATAATACATATTATTGAATTTATTAATAAGTGTCATGCACAAACCAGCAAGTGTCCTTATAGGCATGTCAGGAAAGGTCATTTTTGTTGTAGTGTAAGAGTAGCCGACCACCTTCACAAATTAAAACCAAACGAGAATCACCATAGTTAATCGTCACCTATAGTTGTCCACCACCGTCATCGAAGCTTCTTTTCATCGCTGCTACTTGTGTTTGTCGGTTATCATTAGAGCAGGAAGCTTCATCATCACTGGTTCAATGGAGCACCAGTCAATTCTTTCTTTTTTGTCGGCCATTAGCGATTCTTCGATTGTCATCTCTGGTCCATCGATGTGTATGTTTGGTGGTTGCTACTACTGCAACCCTTTTCATCAGCAACTTGAACTCTTTCCAATTGACCTTTCTTACAATTTCATTGGCAACAACAGTAGCGGTTCGTGCCTCTTATTCCCTAACTGCTTAGTTATATACTCAGCCTCCAATATTATGACTCTATTCTCATCATCGATGACATCTTCTTGCCGTTGTAGTCATCATTCCATCATCTCCACAACCCAACACCTCAATGCGTGCTTTGTCTGCATTGGTTTTTAAGCAACATATTCTCTCCCACATGCTTAGCTCAATAATCAGGGGAGTCTTCTTATTTCTTTTTATTTTTCAGTTTCATACACTAAGGACAATGTCTGATTTAGATGTGGGGGAATGGATATTTCAAGTGTGAAAATTTTTCATGAAAATTTATAAATTTTTAATATGGTTTTGGAGTTTCTTTTGTTTTATGAAAATACAGTCAAGATACAAATATGAAAAGTGTAATTTTACTAGTATGAGTATGTTATTTTCTTGCAATTGACTTGAATGAAGAATGTACAAGATTTGACATATTTAACTAATTTGTGAGTTTTTGAGCCTAATGAGCATGTCAATTATATTTGTTGTATTTTCTTTTGTTGAGTAATATCGCATACGGTTTGATATTTTAGAACTACTTTGGTATGCATGTTGAGACTACACTTGAAATTGATGCATTAAAATGATAAGGGCAAATACGTTTAACCCTTTTTGACTTTCTAAAGACCTACCTTGATTATGTTTTCTCCTAATTAACCATGTTTGAGTCTTGACCTATTCTTTATTTAATTACCATAATTGTTACCTTAAGCCTTTTTGTTTATACTTTCTTATTTGAACCTTGTGTCAAAGGAATACTTTAATATTCTTGCATGATGATTTCAAGAACTATTTCAAGGTTTGATCAAAGTTGGCAAGTGTATTTATATTTCAACATTTGCTATATCTTGTGGAAAAAATGCAAAAATACAAAAAAAAAAAGTGAAAAAGAAAAAAAATGTTGTGAAGTGTTTTTGCATATATGCATTGTATTGTGGTAGTTGGGCAAAGTCCTTTGTTATGTTTGCACTTGCTAAACTTGAAGAGTTTATGGGTATGTCGTGGAACTGTATATGTGCATGAAGAAGGTGTTAGAATTCATGCAAAGAATTGTTGGTATTTCCTTTGATTTGTTTAGCCGAAATTTCCCTTTTTATCTAATCTTTACCTAAGCCCCATCACAACCCTTGTCAAGGCCCTTTAATTTTTGCATTGAGTTCATATAAACTGGTGGAGATATGATATATTGGCAAGTTTATGATAATATCATCCATGGTGTTGATTTGAGTGTTGACTATCACTTAACCATTTTGGGTGATGAGTGCATACAAGAATTTCTATGTAAGGGTTGTTGAGTCTTATGCATCCCAATTTTGATGAAATTGTTGGGAAGACATGATATTTGTGTTATTATGTTATGCTATGAAATATTTGCCATCTTGATTGCAATGGTTGAACTAATAAATGTTCGAGGACAAGCATTGTTTTGGTGTGGAGGAATTTATTAAATGGTTAATTTTGCGTTCAATTTGTGAATATTTTTCCAATTATTTTGCTAGACAATGGTCTTAAGTAGTAGATTCTACTTATATTTGATTTTTGGTGGTGTTTCTAGGAATTTGCAGTGAGAAGAGAGTAAAAAGTGCATTAAAAGTTGAATTTTCAGAAGGCTTTATTTTGCAAGGCACGACCACGTCTTATTCTATTATGAAACGTGGGGTCTGCAGGACACAAGATAAATTTGTTGTTTGATTGGGAAGTCAACTACGCCTCTTAGTTGTCCATATTAGTCACCGAATTGGAGATACTAATTGGATATGATGTGATGTGATTTATTTTGGAAACCAATTTTTATGTTTTGTTAGTTGATTTTAAGTAGGAGTCTAATATTTTCCTTTTTTTTTTGTCAAATTGTCATCACCTACTCTAACCCTATTCTAGGGGATGATCCAATAGGATCACGGAAAACCGATGAAAATTGAACTACCATCAAACCATACATATGCATTATGCATTCATATGGATTTAAAAGAAGCCACATTAAGTGGCAACTTTGATGGGAGGCAAGGATTGAACCTTTGACCTCCCACCCTTGACATCTTTTCCTTATTAGTGTGAGAAAAGCATACGGACAAGGGAGGAACAAACCATTCGTTGGACTTCCGTTCGTCCAACAACTCTTTTCTTTATTCCTTTTCTTCTTTTCTCTCTTAACAATAAACCCTACTTTTTCTTTTCGCTGTGAATCCACCATAAGGAGTGGCTAGTTTCTTGTTCTAGTCGAAAGATAATCAAAACTTTGGTTCATTGAATCTTGTGAGATCTAATCTGCTTTATTTTTTCATCTATTTATAAATATTTATATATTCTCTATTTGTTATTAAGATGATTGTTTTGCTTGAATTAAATAAAGGGCCCTTATTTAGTTCGACAAAATAATCTATCGCCATCTAAATATCAAATCTGTAATAGTTTGATGGTTTAGTGTTTGTGGCAAGTGATATAATTTGATTTGATTATAGTAGAAACTTTCATGTTTATATCACACGAATATATAATCTAGGCTAAATGAACCGAATTTATGTGTTTGTTAGTTAGAATTAGTAGCTTCTCTAATTATTAATGTAATCAATAGATTAAATCTTAAGAGCTTGTTTAGGATTACTTAATTGGCAAGAGAAATAGTCACACAACTTGTTGTGATTATCGAAACAGTAAGGAGAAACAAGTTTTCAAAACTTGTTGATAACCATAACTAGTTTATTTATAAATAAATGATTTTACTCTTGTATTAATGATCAACTAATTGAACCAAAGTGGAGATTAATCTTTTGACTAG